CGACCCGAACCAAATTAAACTTTACTAAGGTTAACAGACTTATATTATGAACTGAAAGCCTAAGATAAATATCATTAATTTTCTTTTAGTTTATAATTTGTACTCGGCTTTATAAGACGGATATGAAGATACCTTAACTGTCGAAATCCTTCTAGCCGTTTGGAAGATACGAGGTAATAAAGAAATTTACAAACATACAAGAAACGCGCGAAAAACAACCCTGTCTAGGCAGTCGGGTAAAAAGGTTTAGAAAGTTTTCCCTTCACGTATTAATATACATATAGATAGATTATTTGGGGAAATTGTTGACTAAAGCAAACTGATTAAAACTTTTTTGTAGAATTATAAAAAACGTTACCCATACACGAAGATTTTCTCCTGGATTGTGATGGCGCTTTACATAAATAAATTGCACATAGACTATATCATCCAGACCTGGAGCTATTATTTTCTAGTGCAAATTAACACTGATTTCGTACGAGATTCGAACAACTTTTTTCCTTTAGCTTAGCTCACCCATTGCGTTTTACCGGAGAGTCAATATAGCATTGAGCACCCATTTCCGTTTATTTAATTAGATGTTTTCATATACAAAGCTTATTTATTACACATTTTTAATAACCATAAACACGATTATAATAGTGAAATCTACACAAATAATATATCTACCCCCGACGTAAAAAAGGGGTTTTAAAAGTTTGTATCTCTAGTCTGTCTATCTGTGTGTTAGTCTGTGACACCGTAGCTCTTAAACGGGTGCACCGACTTGGGTGCATTTTTTTTTATAGGATAAGGGTGACAAACGAGCACACAGTCCACCTGATGGTAAGTGGTCGCTGTGGCCCATAGACATCTACATCTATCTTCGATTAAGAGTCAAAATGCAGATGCGTTGTCACCTGTGAGGACTAAGATGGAATGCCTCGTTTCCAGTAAAAAGGGTCTCCGGTTCTCTACACTCACCATACGAAACACAGCAGCGTTAAGCTGCTATTTTACGCTGGTATTCTGTGAGAGCGTGGTCCTTCCCCGGTCGAGCTGACCCATTCGTGCTACAACCATAATATAGATGCAGCATGGCTCTACCACGTATTTATTTTAAAGCAGATTTTATAGCGGTGGTTCTTAGACATGCTTTATCAAAATCGTGCAGCAGAAATAGCAGAAACCGTGGTCAGGAAGACGGATGTATTATGCTCCATAGAAATAGGTATATATTAAAAATCTTTACCGATATTAAAAAATATGTTCTTTTCCTAATTTCACGTTCTTAGAGTTATTTTTTGGAAACATATGCCCTTCTTCAGGGCTTAAGCTATTTCTATAACAAAATTTCATCAAACTCGGTGGAACGGTTTAGCTGTGAAAACCTAAAGAACAGACAGAGTTACCTTCGTATTTATAATATTAAGTATAGAAGATTATTACTATTTAATTATTTGTAAAATATTTCGTTTAGATTTTTTCTATCTGCAATCGTCATCTTGACAACTTGATTTAAACGCTTGAAAAGTTCAGTTATGTATAACTTTTTTTACTGTTATCGTTACAGCCTATTAAAGTCCACAACTGAACATAAACCTCTCCCGTAGATTAACTCATAGTGGGATATTTGCCATAGTTATCACGTTTGGCAAGCGGGTTGGCAACTGCAGTTTTTTATTTTTAGTCGTTATTAGGAAGAAGCTAGTGCTCATCTCCTGATTTGCTTCCCACTGTCGCCTCTTACGACATCCACGGGATGATATTGGGTAGTGGATATTCTTACACCTTACCAACCAAGTTACATTTACCGTGTAGTGAGTGGCACACGGTAAATGTAACTTGATGTAACTTTTTTTTTTAATATGGATTAATTCAAACACTTTTTCTAACAAAAGATATATTATTTATTTAATCAAAGTTATAAGATGGTAGGAAAGTCTGCCTACAGTGTGACGAGCGGTGTGAGGTCTTGCGTTATCGTGGAACAATAATGGAAAAGATCAATTGACGAGTCGAGGTTGCTTCTCTGAGAGTTTTGACATCTTGTTTAAAGTTCTTCACGAAAAGACATCTGCTGCTATCGATAATACACCGGAACTTAAAAAGCTATAGTGATTTACACTATGAAGTGACTATCACCATGACAAACAATTACCATAACTTTGCTATGTTTGGGTTTCACTTTAGGACATTGTTCGGGTATTTGTCCGGGGATCAGCCATTGCGACACTCGTATTAGAAAAATCACTTTTATTTTCTTACCATGTTTTACTCAAATAGTGAATAGTAAAAACAATTGAAACTCATACAATAACGACACAAAATTTTTGAATTTTGAATGTAGTTTTTTTATGAAAAAAAGCTTTAAACAAAAATCTTGGGCCATGCAGGCTTAATTTTGATTCAAACTCTATTAAAACAACCCTATTAACTCAATTTTAACAACGGCAACTTATGTTAGTTTAATAACATAAGTTGCGAGTTTTGGCGGGAACTTGATCAGCGGCGGTTTGCTGCTCCTGTATTATTGTTTAAATAATGGTTTGAAGTGGACTTTGATATGTAAAAGTGGTGCGATTTTGTGTATTAATTGTGAACTATTAGTGGAAACAGTGAAACAAATGCTCTGATGGTGATGGATTCTCAAGATAAGCTGTTTGTTTGCATAGGCGCCTTGAGATACCATCGCCAACTATCAGCTGTCTGCTGGCTCAAGTTGCCGTCAAAATCTCTCAAGGGCTGCACAATGTGACGCATCAACATATTGTGAAGCAGTGAACTATGAAGGATAATTATTTATAATAAACCGAATAAAAATACTCAAGACTTGGCCTAAAGGTCTAGATACCAGGCCATAAACTCCTATAAAAAAATAAAAAAATAACATAAGTTGCCGTTATTAAAATTATTACATAATATATTTTTCATAATACATGTATTTTATTATTTTTAAATTTGAATTTACAGTGTAGGGGTGGCGTAACCAAAAACCAATAAGTACTAAACTAACCGCACCTCTCCCTCCCCCCCCCCCCCCCCCCCCCAAATTATTTCGTGGATGTCGAAAGGGCGACAGAAGGAATTGAAACGAGATGGACAGCATTTGTCAGACCATCATCATTTCCAGGAGACAGGGAGTTTTTCAGGTATAAAGTTGCCAAATCCGCCATTGACGATGATGGTGCATAACTTTGATACTACGAGTCATACTACGACCATGAATTACATGCGGAATAAGGATCGCGAGTGAGTGACGCAAGAGAGAGATAATTATTGCATGCCTTAAGCGCAAAGCGCTGGGTATGTTCTACTATCGCCTAAAAATTAATATTCCAACGTTTTATCGCATGAAATCGTATCTAGCAATCATATTTAAATCCAGTAATTTTAGAAAAACACAAAAGCCCGCTGTTTGACTATTGTATTTTGTGTTCACAAAACAAAAAAAATTAACACAGTTTGCTTTTGCGTAAATTAACGAATAAACGAAAGAAAATCTTTGTCACCATTATTGTAAAGACTATAATCGTCATTAGATAAAGTAAGAACTATAACTTCACTTCTCTGAAATGAGGCCTATTTTGATTTGTTTCGTGCGTTCATTAGCGATAACTAATCTTTTTTATATCTGTTTTGTTTGTTATATTTATTATTACTATACTCTACCTATGAATGTTAAAAAAAAACACAAAAGAAACAAAAATAAATGAATACAGAAAATAGTATTGTCAGAGTTACGTCATAGCGCAGCGCGAGGTGCACAGTTAAGTCGCATGGGTTGTACCTTTGTAGACATATGAACTACGGGTGCAGTGATTACAGAAAAATATATTATGCAGTGAAAAACAAAATGAATTTTTGTTATTATATCTATTTGCTAGAGTTGAGAAAGTGATATCTGATTACAAAAGTTACTCAACTAATTGCCGAAATTCTAGGAAACAGCGTTAGCTTCAACAGGTTCTACATGTAAGGTTTCTTATATTTACAAGGGTATATATATTGAATTCACTGCTTATAAGAAGGACAGTAAGTTTTATGCAAAAATTTCAAGAAATACTAACGTTATAATGACAATTTCAGTTATTTTAATCAAATGGTACTTTGTCAAAATGTAATTGTTTTTAACTTTAAATACAATATATGTAAATCTCTCATATTATATGTAAATATCATACAGCAAAGAATGAAAACTAAATTCTTATCAAAATTAAATCAAATTTCACTAATTAAAGTAAATAACTTTTTGTCTTTTTTTTAATCGCTGCTTCTGTTCATGAATCCGAAATGGCTTTACTGTAGTTGGTATTTTTGAATTCAACTTTTTTAATACAAGTTTCTTATAACAACACTGAACACATTGTCCCCCTAGCATTATATAATAATTATCAAATTCTCGGGAACATTCCTTCCAGCACTCTTCACAACCATCCAGTTCAATGCGGAGATTATTTTCATGAATTTTCAATATTATACTAACGGTAACATTTGTTTTCAAATGTTGCTGTATTTTGTCATGTTTGGTAATTGTATTATCTTTAATCTCCTTAAGGGGTGAATAACAAGGACCATCATGAAGTATCTGAAGATCTGGGTCCTTAATTAAAGCTCTTTTGAAGTGACAAATGGACGGATATGTTTTTCCATCGGTTCCACAAACTTGTGTCCATGTGGGACATTTTAGGGCAGTAACTTTTGAATATAAGAGAACAAATATAAAGTCTGGAAAGACAAAAATGTTAACATTTTTATCTATTATAATTTTGTTCTTAATTTGCGATTGTTTGCAATAATAAACATGTAATTATTATGATAATAGAGCGCAATCGTTTTAAATCTTTTTAGGTACGTATTCTGCTGCAGAACTTACACATACGTTGTTTGTGACAATGTCTACGTTTCTTAAATTTCGGCACCAAATTATGAAATATTCTTTATACATTTTAATAAGTACTTACATAATATCATATCTATTCAAGAGCAGTCGCAAATACAATCAGCAGATAATTTATATCTTAATACCCGATCTGAAAAAGGTTAAACATTAAGTAATTAATTATATGGACTAAAATACTTTTTATAATTTAATGCCAATATTAAATTTAATTTAATGAATTATATTTAATTTCAAAGCAATAAAACATTTACTGTGGTGTATTTACTGTTACATTCGCAGTCCGTGTAGTTTTGTTATCGAAAATGTTGGTAAGGAAATTATATTTTTGCTTCATAGTCTAAGTCTACATTACTGACTAATTATCCAAATGTATCAATTATAGGAAATTACTTTCTTAATTCATGTTTCTAACCGAGACGAATTGCGTCACGGAAATGAAAATATGCAATTTAAGCTTATTGTATAGGTATATAGACTATTTTTGAGGATATGAGACGTATGCTTAATTTTACGTCCACGATATCCAAGGGATTTGTATACAGCTACGAATAAAGTAGACTTAACGTTTAAAATTGCTTTAAACACTATGTTCTTCAATTAAAACACTTTAGTGACTGTATAGAATAAAATTGTTAACTGTTTGATAGACTGAACCGGGCAACGACAACATCTCCGCAACAGGAATTAAATATTATTCGAGCCTCCTCAAATAATCTAAGTATGCTCTTTACATTACCGAAGACCTCGAAGAGCAACCGCGGCGATTCGAAGTAATTAGATCTGTAGCTGGCAACCGTTGAGCAATCGAGTAGAACGTAGGCTATCGTTTCCTCGTACCCATGCAGGCTCTGAACAAAGGGATCTCTCCGTAACGCCTAAAGTAAAGAGACGCTTACGAGTATCAAAGAAACTCGTGATCTGTTATGGCAGCTGTGATCAGTCTAGTTTGAGGTTTATTTAGTCTGAGTAACCTTTTGTTGGAAATGTTGGTGTTAATTGGAGGTAGAGCTTTTTAGCCTGCTTATATTCAGTATGGTTAATCCAGAGTTGTGTATGTTAAGGCTTTGTAAGATTTCGAACTGCTGTCCTTACATACCCGAAGATAAGTGCAACTATGCCAATTACGAGTAAAAGGAACATTTGAAATCATACAAACTTCACAGCTTCTTCATTCTATCTGTCAGTAATTATTTGTTGGCAATATTTTAAAATCTTCGCAGCGTCTACGCAGCGCTATTGCTTTTTTTTTCTTTAGCTTAGCTCACCTATTGCGTTACAGGTTTTTTTTTTATATATGATAAGGGTGACAAACGAGCACACAGTCCACCTGATGGTAAGTGGTTGTTGCGGCCCATAGACATCTACATCTATCCTCTATTACAAATCAAAATGTAGATGCGTTGTCACCCGTGAGGACTAAGATGGAATGCCTCATTTCCAGTAAAAAGGGCCTCCGGCTACCTGCACTCACCAAGCGAAACGCAGAGGTAAACCTCTACTTCACGCTGGTTTTCTGTGAGGTTGTGGTACCACCCCGGTTCGAGCCGGCCCATCCGTGCGAGACAGCAAAAGCTGTCGCGTGGCTCTACTACTGTTAAAAGTATGAACGTAAATAATGTGTTGTATTTTATGTATTTGTATGTAACGCCTATTATATACAAATTTTAGCTTCTAGCACTACTTCTCCATATAAACTCTTTAAGAATATCTTAACTATGTCAAACTATGTCTTAACTGTCTTTAACAATGCAAAAATCACACTGCTCCGTAGGCGCAATATTCTTAAAAAAGGGTACAAAGTTTTCCCTTCACATATTAGTATACATATTGATAGTTTATTTGGGGAAAATGTTGACTATGATGAACTGCTTACATCTTTTTTCAACCGACTTCAAAAAAGGAGAAGGTTCGCAATTCGACTGTTTTTTTTATGTGTTTCCTCAGAACTTTTTTTCTAGGTGAACCGATTTTGATGATTTGGAAGCTTGTGCATCTAATGTGGTCCCATATAAATTTGATCAAGATCTGACCAATAGTTTTTAAGTTATCCTTAATAATGCGTACTCGTATTTAATTAACTTCGACTAATATGATGTTCTCATTTTATTTATGTTGAAATCGGTTGTACAAAATTTATAATTTTACCACTTGTGTAGATTTATAAAAAACGTTACCCACACACGAGGATTTTCTCGTGTATTGTGAAAGCGTTTTATATGCATAAATTGCACATAGACTATCATCCAGACCTAGAACGGGATACGAACCGGCGCGGTGGCTCCCCAGCGCTACGAGCTTCTTTTCCTTATATTAGCTTTGCTCACCTATTGCGTTATAGAGCGGTATTACATTTAGGGATGGGCAAAGGAAAAAAATATATATCGAATCTATATTTTTAAACAGTATCGATATATCGATATATCGTCATCATTTGCATGGTGTAAAGATAAGTTCTAAAATTTTATTTGCTGGCGGTTGGACGACGAAAAAACGATACAACATTAAACATAAAATATATCGAAATTGATACGAATTCGATACTCTAAAATAAATATCGATTTATCGCGATTTGAAATATCGACCATATATATCCAAAATTTTTAATAAAATATCGATATATATTTTTAATAAAAATATCGATATATCGATATTCTTTGCCTAAGCCTAATTACAATCAGCGCCCATTTCGGTTTATGTAATAAGGTGTTTTCATTTTTAACAATCACAAACACGACTATAATAATGAAATGCACACAAATGATATATTTTTTAATCATACTAAGACATAAGTTGCATGAGCCGTATGTACGTAACGGATACATAAACAGAAAAATATAGAGCCTGTGGATTGATGAAGAATTATATCTAGCAGCTACCCGCGGCTTCGCTTATCAGTAGTTTTGTTACAAATGGTTAAGAGAAAGCCAGTAATTTAGCAGAAACCGTGGCCTGGAAGACGCTTATATGCGTTGTTACATAGAAATAGGTATATTTTAAAAACCTTTACTGATATTAAAAAAGATTTTATTTTCCTTATTTAACATTCTTAGAGTAAAATTTTTAAAACATAATATACCCTTCCTCAATGCTCAACTATGTCAATAACAAATTTCATAAAACTCGGTTCAGCGGTTTAGCAGCGTAAATGTAACGGACAGACAGAGGTATTAAGTATAGAAGATTCATCATCATCATCATTACAGCCTTTCATAAGTCCACTGCTGAACATAGGCCTCCCCAATATAGAAGATTATTACTATTTAATTTTTTGTAGAATATTTATTACAATATACAATAATATTTATAACAACTTGATTTATCCGCTTGAGAAGTTCTGTATGTATAACATTTTTAACGTTACATTTACAGCCTATTAAAATCCACTACTGAACATAGGCCATCCCCATAGACTGCCTCATAGGGGGATATTTTTCATAGTTGCCACGTTTGGCAAGCGGGTTGGCAACCTCAGTTTTTTATTTTTAGTCGTTATTAGGAAGACGCTGGTGCTCATCTCCTTATTTGCTTCCCTCTGTCGCCTCTTACGACATCCACGGGATGATATTGGGTACTGGACATGCATAGACCACACTACACGGTAAATGTAATTTGATGTAATTTTCGTTAATATAGTTTAATATAGATAAATTTAGTCATCGGAAAAATTTTGGCGGCTCAATTAAATATTAGAGATTGGATCTAAAATTATTTCAATTGGTCACGAAATGGTCACAATTGGTCAATTAATTTTGATAATTTGTCAACGTTATTTATGTATTAATAAAAAAAAATTCTTTTTCAGATTACAACTTCAAAATAATAACTTTCCAATATCAGTCAAAGATCCTAGAAAATTACGAAATACACACGATTGGTCAGAAATTAACTCTAACAGGTTCTACATAAAAAGTTTCTTATATATATTTTTTTTAAATAACGTTACCCCTACACTAGGATTTTCTCTGTATCGTGGAGGCAGTTTACAAACACCGATTGCACAAGGACAAACATCCAGACCCGGAACAATTATTTTATAGCCCATACAAATACTTATTCCGTGCGGGATTCGAACCCGCGGCCCCCAGCGCAGCAACTCATTGCTAAGCCACTGCGCTACGGAGCCGTCAATATATTTACAAGGGTATCATCGTTAACTGGTAAATTCCCTGCTTACAAGAAGAACAAAAAAAATCTAGCTTTATAATGTTAGTTTTAGTTATTTTAATCAAATAGTATTTTGTTAAAATGTACAGCTCATCCAGCTAAGAGTACAAATTAAATTCGTATCAAAATTTAATCAAATTACATTAATTAAAGTAAACAACTTTTTTTTTTAATCGTTGCTTCTCTTGATGAATCTGAAATGGCTTTACTACAGTCGGGATATTTTTAAATTCAGCTTTTTTAATACAAATTTTTTATAACAACACCGAACACATTTTCCCCGTAGCATTATATAAAAATTATCAAATTCCTTGGAACATTCGTTCCAGCACTCTTCGCAACCATCCAGTCGAATGCGGAGCTTATTTTCTTCAATTTTCAATATTATACTAACGGTTTTATTTGTTTCTAAATGCCTTGAATCATTTATGTCATCTTCAGAACGCTGTAATTCGTCATTAAAATCCTGATTTATATTTTCAATTGCATTATCTTTAATTTGCCTAAGGGATGAGAAACAAGGACCTTCATGAAGTATCTGAAGATCCCAATCCTCAATTGAAGCTTTGTTCAAGTGACAAGCTGTCGGATATGTCTTTCCATCGGTTCCACAAACTTGTGTCCACGTGCGACATTTTAGCGCAGTAACTTTTGAATATAAGAGAAAAAATATAAAGTCTGGAAAGACAAAAATGTTAATGTTTATATCTATTATAATTTTGTTCTTAATTTGCAATCGTTTGCAGTAATAAACATGTTAATCTTATGATAATAGGGAGCAATCGTTTTAAATATTTTTACGTACGTATTCTGCTGCTGAACTTACACATACGTTGTTTGTGTCTAATGTCTACGTTTCTTAGATTTCGGCACCAAATTATTAAATATTCTTTATACATTTTAATAAGTACTTACATAATATCATATCTGTTCAAGAGCAGTCGCAAAGAAAATCAGCAGATAATTTATCTCTTAATACCCGATCTGAAAAAGATAATCATTAAACAATTAATCATATGGACTAAAATACTTTTTATGATTTAATGTTAATATTTAGGTATTCTTAATTTCAAAGCAACAAACCGTTTACTGTATGGTATTTACTGTTCCATTCGCAGTCCGTGTACTTTTTTAAATGAAAATGTTGTTAAGGAAATTATATTTTTGCTGCTTATCGAAGTCAACAATACTGACTAGTACTATGTATTGAAATGTATCAATTATAGGAAATTACTTTCTTAATTCATGTTTCCAACCGAGACGAATTGCGTCACGAAAATGAAAAAATGTGCAATTTAAGCTTATTCTATATATAGAGGATTTTTAAGGATATGAGACGTATGCTTAATTTTGCGTCCACAATATCCAAGGGATTTGTATACAGCCACGAATAAAGTAGACTTAATTTTGAAAATTGATTTAAACGCTATATTTTTCAAGAATAGAAATGTAGAATTAAATACTCGCTGTTTGATAGACTGAACCGGGCAACAACAACGTGTCCGGAACAGGAATTAAATATTATTCGAGCCTCCTTAAACAATCTAAGTAGGCTCTTTATATCACCAACGACCTCGTAGAGCGATCACGACGATCTGAAGTAATTAGCTGGCAGCCGCTGAACAATCGAGTAGAATGTAGACCATCGTTTCCTCGTACCTATGCAGGCTCTGAACAAAAGGATGTTCGTAACCCCTAAAGTAAAGAGATACTTATCAAAGTAACTGTGACCTGTTAAGGCACCTGTGACCAGTCTAATATGAGATTTATTTAATTTGAATAACCGTTTGGAAATGTCTATGTTTATTGGAGGTTCTTCAGCCTGCTTATATACAGTACGGGCAATCCATAGCTATGTATTTTAAGGCTTTGTAAGATTTCGTACTTCTGCCTTTACATATCCGAAGGTAAGTTCAGCTATGGCTGCAGGCCCCACCGTTTTCTTTGGTAAGCCTTTCTGGGTGAGTTCATTAGCCGCATCATTGCCACTATCTCTGATGTGACCCTTTATCCATTAAATTCTTATGTAGTTGAAACTGCTAATCTCATTTAAAGACATAAAGACATTTATTCCGACACTTCATATTACAGACGTTGTTCTGCCCTTAGCGGGGAACCTTTGTACTATAAAAATCCTTAATTTCGTCGTTGTTTCGGAGTTAATAACATTTACTCTTTAGGGACTCTAGTACCACTAAGCTATAGGAAAGTATGCGGATCGAATGATTTCTCACCCTCCTTGCTTCGATTGTCGGAGCATTATTTCCAGATTATTTCCATACATTCAGCCTAGTATATATGGTATAGTATTGTAGATTCCGAGCGGCGTTGTATATTTAAATCTTCCGAAAACGTTCTAAATTTACTATTACCTACTGTTACTACTACGAATACTTACAATTGTAAAGTTGTAGTAGCAAAATAGTTAGACTTGCCTTAAATTTCATTGTACGCAAATTACTCGTATTAAGTTTCGATGCCCGCCGATACATCTCAAATGTTTTTATAGTAATTTAATGTGCTGATTTACTCCGTGCTCGGCGTTGAAGGCAATCAAAGTAAACCTACGCTTTCGTGCACGTATTGTAAAATCTATTTCGACAGACACACAAATTGACGTATAGGAACATCATGCCAATCTAGGCGTATGCCTTCTACGTTCTCATAGCTGTTGGTGTTATTTAAATTGGATAATGCACCTGGAGCATAGATAACAAGAATATAGATATTTCCGCAAATTAATGCCTAGATCGTTATGAGCTATACGATCAAAAGTGCTTCACGCATGCTTCACACATGGCACCGAAGCATATGCTCTGATAAGAAGCCATACTATTCTGTATAGTAATACACGATATGCAGCCAGTGTTTTTATTATTAGGGATTAATGTGTCATAGATTAAAAATAAGTAAATATATTTATACATTTATACATTTTACACATATATTTCGCCAATAACTTTAACAAATAAACTCTAGATAAGTATTCTGGAATCGAGAACCAACATTTGATTCCTTGTAATATATAAAACCAAATCGACATAAATTCCAATATCTCAACAAAATCTTACTCTAATATCTAATCTAAATGAACAAAAATAAAATAAGTCAATAGTAGACGATAACTGTAAAATTACGTAACAAAACCGAGAAATATGTATTATTATTTATTGTCTGCTCTACCATAATATGTTATGCTCTTTAAATGTTTCTCCTTCTGTAGTTATTATTGCAGGTTCTTTACAAATGCTTTGAATCAATATCCTCCCTTTTGTTTTCTCTTCCCATTTGTACGTTTTCACTTTTATTTATTATACAAAATCTGTTTACGTCTTAGACTACGCTTCGAAATTATAAATGTTTTACAAATATGAGCTCATGTTGTGAATCGTAGGAAACAAATTCAACTATAATAGTTGATTAATATAACGACATGATTTTTGAATTTAATTAATATTAGTGATATTGCTTTAAGTATTTTTTTTTTACTTTCAAATTAATTATAAGCCAGTGCTTGTCTTTAAACCCAACTAATCCTAGAGGTAAGTAGTGAATGATGTCTTCTCATGGTGATATCATAGCGTAACGAAACTTTATTCACAATTTCCTTGAATATTGAAGACACCCAGATAGTAATCGTACGGAAAGACCGACGAATATTTAAATTCTTTTTCTGTACTTATTATAAAATACAAAAGGAACAGATTTATTTAACATTTTATTAGGTGTAATCATTGCTTACGAATTCACCAAATTCACGCGTTCCATCAAAAGCTGACGTGAATAAAAGATATAAATTGGTTGTCTTAGTTTTAGCGAATGCTTCTTTGTGTCCATTAACGTAGTAGTTCTTAATAATTTTCTGTTTATTTAAGTATGTAAGTGTAAATATTTTTCTTAAAAAATTGTACATAAAAGTGTGCGAACAACCAAATCCTTTGCAACCCTGGTTCCAATATAAGATTTCTTTCGCGTGTAAACAAATAATGCATTGCAGAACTTAGCATCACCATTCATCATTACAGCCCTTCACAATTCCACTGCTGAACATAGGCCTCCCCCAAGGAATGCCACAAAGCACGGTCTTGAGCCACCTGCATCCATCGACTTCCTGCATGTCTTACCAGGTCGTCACGCCATCTAGTAGGGGGACGCCCTACACTTCGTCCGCCAGTACGAGGCTGCCACTGAAGAACCTTCTTTCCCCATCGGTTGTCGGTTCTTCGAGCTATATGGTCAGCCCATTGACACTTCAGATTACTAATTCTTTGGGCTATGTCGGTAACTCTGGTTCTACTGCGGATGTCCTCATTTGTTCATTAATTTTATCCACCAGTTGATCAGTTATGAACATAGCAACTGGTGGATAAAATTAATTATCCCGGCCTGGTGGAGGCGGAGCGATTTTATTATAATGCGGTAAATATGGTGTGTTGGTTTTAATGATCAACTGCTGGTTCAGAGTTAAAATCACCCCTGATTTTACGTAGATCATGGGCTGTAAATTTGGACTACAGGACGGATGTGAAGGAAGGCATGTGCACACACCTGGACTTCCGCGGAGCTGCCTCGTGTCTCCAGGAGCTGCGTTGCACGTTGGTTGGATGACGGATAAAAAAGCTTTCAAGCATTTAAAAGTTAAAAGTCAAAGTGTCTTGCAATCAATGCACCTTTTGCAATAAAACGGAACTGTAAAAAATTTCACTTAACCTTTAAATTGTTATATAAAGAGATAAGGTATAAAAATTGAGCTTACGATCAGCGTAAAATTTTATTCGAAACATTAAAACAGGTGTTGTGTTGTTTTATAATTTAAATCTCGAAAAATGGGTGTGGGTGCGATTTGGTTTGCCCTTGATAAAACTTCTCTTTAGTAATATAATCTTTGTTTGGATACAGCGCACGCGCGTACACACGTTCACAATCTATGGACCTCCGCCATTGTATTATTAAAAAATTAAAAATTAAAAATCATTTATTTCGGAACTAGATCATATCACACTTCATAAATACACATCGAAATTAAAATATTAAATCTAAGTTACGATGTCAATTTTATATGAACTGACATAAAAAAAAAATATTTCATTAAAATTAAATATTAATTATTATAGGGAAGGACTTATCGTTATAACTACGCTTGGTGATACGGTACGGTTTGGTGATCGTCGTATCTGATGTCTTGTGGTATACCACCTTCTTTCGCAGTCCCGGAGGTCTTTCTGACCTGACACATTTGTGTCTTACTGAATCCACGGGATGCAATTTGACACGATGTTTCTCTATATGTTTATACAACACTATTTTGTAAGTACCAAAAAAAAATTTAAGTACAGTTGCAACAGATGTTACTAGTGATAATGACACTATCAGATTTTTTTATTATTTATCTATCACAACGTTATCGAGGTTTGTTTTCGTCCAAAAAAGTTAACTGTATAGTTTCGTTTACCAGATTAATTTAGTTTCCTAGATGTTTTAAAGCAATTAACAGCAATTGGTGCGAGTATTCGTGACGATTGAAAGGGAGCCGAGAGATCTCGCTTGGTCACGATTCCGATCGATATTCTTAAATGTTAACGAGGCGCGCCGCCGCAGACGAAAGTAAACCGACACCATTGTTCAAGGAACAGGTGCTACAATGGTAGATAATAATGGGTGTGCCTCCATGGCTCAAACACCTACGGCTGTGTGAAATGTTACTCAATATCTACATGGCGAAAGCGAGTTCATTAACTTTGTTACGATGGATTAGGTCATTCGTGGGTAGTGAAATTTAGGTGTTATGGAATTTTTTATATACTAAAAGTCTTGTTAAGAAGATTCTGCTGCCCATCTCCTGGTTTGTTCCCCTCTTTCGCCTCTTACGACATCCACTGGATGATATGGGATAGTGCATATTCTCACCGACACTACGACTAAAAA